ACGTCACAAAAACACACCCCTGTCTGGTCGAAACGACCAACCAGGAACCTCCCAAGTGAACCGGAAATAGAGCTCTTTAAATGTCGGTACTTCCTAGTTCAAACCAGTCGGGTGGAGAGTTTGTAGCTCCAGTCGTTTGGGAGAACAGAAGTCCAGGCATGATCCGCAGCTCTTCCGAGTCTTGTGGGGATTATGACATCTTCCACCTCTGAGTGGAACTTCTGAAGGACTCCACTCATGTGAAGTCCACTCGTGAGGTGAACTGTTGTTGATGAAGTCCCGCCACCACTCCGGACGGTTCTCTGCCATCCTACGGAGACGCTGGACCGGTAGCTTAACTGGAGCTCCGTTTCCACTGATTCATCGTCAGAGAGGTAATGAGTCGAGTTTACTACCGAGCGTACCGAGGAAAGCTGGGTTCGAATGGAGGGTGCCGTTCTGTTCAACACTTTTCACTCACACACACCATCTCCCTCCCTCTAAACTTTATCTTTCCATCTTTAAAATTCTTCTATCCTGCTAGAAATCATTCCAGATGTTTCCAGAAATGTCTGTGGTGAAGCAAGGTTTTCAACCATCGCCGTATGGTTAATCAAATTGTACAGCTTGCTAACTAAGCCATGTTGTTGAAATCATTTTGCCAAATTAATGTAAATGTGTGATGTTAAACTTTGATTCTGTAAATAAATGACGCATTCATTTGATGGGTCAAAGAAAATTAACGTCTCACGATACATTTTATTAAATTCAATGCACGACATTATTCAGTCCAGAAAAATGAAAGAATCCGTTTAATTTATGAATATATCATGCATATGTTCATCTACAACAGCCATCAGTGTGCTAATGATCCATTGTTAGGCTGATGGTCCTTCTTGAGCATGTGAGCAGCTGGTTTTGGTTGTCAGCAGCAAACTGGTTGATCCACTCTGAGAAGGTGCTATTTATAAGACTGAGCTGAATACAGCACCTCAGACCGAGGAAGTTTTTCGGATAAAAGATGAAACGTTTCTACTTTTTTTTTTTGTTTTGCTTGTTTTGTTTTGCTTGTTTTGTTTTTTTGAATGTCCAGAGGACCAGATTGAATTTTTTTAGAAATCACACATCTTTTCTATTCCCATCCTGCCTCAACTTATCTTTTCTTTCAGTCTCTCAGTGTAAATATTCTGTGTATCAGAGAGAGGGAACATTTGTGGGGACTGCAGACAACAAATCCGTGTTTTTTTTTTGTGTGTTTTAGGTCAGGAGAGGTTTGGCAACATGACCCGCGTTTATTACCGTGAAGCCATGGGCGCCTTCATCGTATTCGATGTGACACGGCCGGCCTCCTTTGAGGCCGTCACAAAGTGGAAGGAGGACTTAGATTCCAAAGTGACACTTGCCAACGGGAAACATGTTGCCACCGTGCTGCTGGCCAATAAATGTGACCAGAGTCAGGACGTTCTGACCAACAACAGGATAAAGATGGAGCAGTTCTGTCAGGACAACGGCTTTGTGGGATGGTTCGAGACGTCCGCTAAGGTGAGAATTAATTACAACTACAAAAAACAGCATTATCTGCAAAAGCACAGTGTGAGTGCTGAATGACAGCTGAAATCTGCAGAAGATGCTAAAACTGAGTTGTTAAAGCTAAAAGAAACAGAGGACAGGCTAAAAGCTAAAAAAGGCAGAACACCACTTAAAATCTGAAAAGAGCAAAACACTAGATAAATGCCAAAAGTAGAAAAATACTAGTTAAAAAAGTAGCAAAATGCTAGCTAAAAGTAGCAACACAGTAGCTAGAATCCAAATGGACCAAAAGGCTAGCTCAAAGCTAAATGCAGAAAAATGCAAATTAAATGCCCAAAGTACCAATACAGTAGCTAGAAGCTAGGGTAGCAATAGGCTATCTAAAAGCATCAAAAGCTTAGATAAAAACTAAAAGTTATAAAAATTAGCAAAAAAGCTAAAGTAAAAAAAAGAGTAGCTTAAAGCCTAAAGTAGTCATAAAGGGTATAAAACATTTTAAACGGTTTGCCTAATGTATGAAAATCCTAGCTAGAAACTAAAAC